TGCTTGGAAGATTTAAACACTTCCTGTCTCCATTACATGTCTTTCTCAACCGTTCAAAATCTGGTTTTGCCAGTCTCCAGTGATGTGTGGCTAAAGTCAACAAGAATGTCTGTCCTGACCCAACTTTCAAAGTGCTGGAAAAGAGCTGGTCCCTGGTCACCTGGCTTGGACTCTGGTCGTGACATCCCTCTGGTTTTCTTTCTTCTCTGGAGACCCCTGTCTAATGCTAGCATTCTTTGGGGTTCTGTTACAGCACCCCTCCTCCTGCATGATTTCCTCCACCCTGTGGCTTCAGATGCCCCCAGTTTTAATCACTCATAGATTTCTTTAGTCCAAAGTCTCTCTTGAGCTTCAAAATTACTTATCCAAAAGCCAACATTATTGCTTCCCATCCTTATTTATTTATTTATTTATTTAATGTGTATGAAGGTGTTTTGCCTTCATATAGCTGTGCACTGCATGCCTGCCTGGTGCCTGCTGTGCCAGAAGAAGGTGTCAGATTTCCTGGAACTAGAGTTACAGACAGTTGTGAGCCTCCATGGGGGTGCTGCTGGGAAATCAAACCCAGGTCCTCTATAAGAGCAGCCAGTGCTCTTAACCTCCGAATCATCTGTCTGGCTCTACCCCCCCCCACACACACACAGGTATATATTCATTGTACATAATGCTGGGTATCATAAAACACATGTATTTTAACTGTACTCAACCTTCCATACCATCCTTACCCCATTCCTGCTAGTCTTCTTCCCCGGTCTCTCGTCTGCTTTGATGCCATTTATAGAAATGAGTTTTAGCATCCTAATCTTTTCAGATCATGGCACACATAGAAAATGATGGGATTCTCTGTTGGATGATGCAATACAGCACAGACAAGGTAGTCTCTGAGAACTTGTGTTGTCCTAAGGATTGGGGTTCATGTGCAGTATGTGTTGTAGCCTCTCCTGAGGAACAGCAGCAGTTGGGAAAGAAGTACTCATCCCTGGAGAGGCATCTCCATTCAGATGTCTTCTGGGCATTTCAGTGTCAACCTGACTGGAAGTAAGTATGTCATCTCCAGCACCTTTTCTTGTGGGAATTCTTTCTGCCAATAGACTCGGGGTACCAGCCTTAGGGCAGAGCTTCTTGTCTGCCTTATGCTGCACTGGCTGTCCTGAAACTCCATATGTAGACCAATCTGACCTTGGACTCCCAGAGATGCTGAGAGCTGGGATAAAGGTGTGCATCACCAGGCCTACTGCTCTGTTTTCTTTAAGTCATCTCATACCCATCACTTCTCTTACTCTTCTACCCCAGACCACATCACTTCTCGTTTTTTCTCCTCAGTTGTTGTAAATATCTTCTTTCTGGTCGCCCTGACATCAGTCTTACCTCTGTCCACATTGCGACCACAGTGCTCTTTCCAAAATACAAATCTGAAGGTTTGGTGGAGCACTTCTGACCCCAGCACTTGGGAGGCAGAAATAGGCAGATCTCTGAGTTCAAGGTCAGCCTGTTCTACAGAGGGGGTTTCAGGCCAGCCACGGCTATACAGTGAGACCTTTTCTCAATAAATAAATAAATAAATTTTAAAGAAGGAAAGAAAGAAAAACAAGGGCTGGAGAGATGGCTCAGAGGTTAAGAACACTGGCTGCTCTTCCAGAGGTCCTGAGTTTGATTCCCAGAAACTACATGGTGGCTCACAGCCATCTATGATGAGATCTGGTGCCCTCTTCTGGTGTGCAGACATACATGTAGGCAGAACAATATATATATATGTATGTATGTATGTATTATGTATGTACATATTCTTTTTAAAAATTTAAAAAAAGAAAAACAATACAAATCTGATTATGCATCCCTCCAACTCTACCCCAACCCTCACTTAAAACCATGCAAAGGCTCTACTTTGCTCTTCGGATTAAGTATAGTTTTCACAGTGCTTACTTTTCCAAAGCCATCCCTACTACTTAGGAAGTCATCCTTAATACCATGTGCACAGTGCCTAAGCATAGAATAAAGGCTCAACAAAAATTTGGAGAACTGAACCCAGGACCTCACACATACTAGGCAAGTACTCTGCCACTGAGCCTTTATTCACTTTTAGAGATGGGGGTCTCATTTAGTTGCTTAAACTGGCCTTTGAAATCACTCTGTAGCCCAGACAGGCCTTGAACCTGTGGTCTTCCCAAGTAGTTAGCAATACAGGCCTGGACCACTGGGTCCAACTCAAAACAGAAGTTCAAGGATGTGAGCAGACTCATCATATCTTGCAGGTAAGAGATTTCAAAGTATATTGGCAATGACTTACTCCAGTTGAAAAAATGAACTGAACACTAGCCAGCTACTTTCTTCCTCTTACTAAGCAATAGTAGTAACAGCTAGATTGTGTCCTGGAGTTGATCCAACTTGAAGATCAGGCAGGTAAGGATGTTCTGAGAAACCAATTAGCAACCTAACCACAATTAATGCTCAGAATTCTAAATCTGGGTTATCCTATCAACTAGTACAACAACAGTAAAGTGACTATGATGTTAGCCTCTGGAGACTGAAGATGCTCAACACTGAATGGCTGACCACACAGTACCACAGCAGAGAACATGGGAAGACAGCTCAGAGCTTATGAGTACTTGTTCTTGCAGAGGACCAGGGTTAAGTCTCAGCACTCACAGGATGATTCGAAATCATCCATAATTTACTTCTGGGGGATTTGATGTCCTCCCCTGACTTCTGTGGGCTCTAAGCACTCAATTGGTGCAGACACATATGCAGGCAAAACATCCATGCCAAAAAATAAATAACTCTAAAAAACAGTGAGAGTATTCGATCCAAATGTTGGTGTGAGTAGTGAGGGCGTGGCTCTCCGAGGTCATCATTACTATACACATAGTTATGCCACACCATCACACCGGTTTGTAAACAAAAGCCTGCAGTGCCAGACAGCTAAGAAGTTTAGCTTGTCTTATTACAAACAAGGAAAGGACATGATTAGTGATGTATAATAAGAATGGAGAATCAACTTTGGGACTTCTAAGTTTTAATCGATTGATTAATAAAACTGAATCAAAATGTAGTAAGCTTCATCAAAGAAAATAATCGTGGAATATTGCTACAGTTTGGCTTCTTGTTTCTAAGGATGAAGGTCTGTGAAGCATAAAGTCTGCCAAAATCCAGGAGCCAAAGTATCAAGTGGGTAAGGCCTGTTAGGTTAGGAGGGCAAGGACATGCAAATGGTCTGCCTGTGTTTATTAAATAAGGGTAAACATATTAATAAAAATAATCTAGATGTTTGCTTCCAAAACATAAGTTATTTGCAAACATTCAAAAAATAATGAGAAATGCCTGGCAGGCTTAAGATTTCCATCCCAAGGCACAGGAATATAACAGATACACCATTCCTATTGGACTTTAGAGCCCTTTGAAGGAAGAACTGTGTCTAATTTTTGTTATACTCCCAGTATTAGCCCATTAATCCATATTCAATAAATATTGGATGATTGGGCAAAGATTAATCAGTCCAAAGATGCCATAATCAAGCTTCAAGATATATGGTGAAAAAGGAATGGAAGGCCATGGATTTGGCTCCATGACACAGTACTTGTTTGACATGTGTACAGATCTGGGCATGGTGGCATGCCTGCAATCCTAACACCTAAAGACTGAGACAGGAGGATGGAGAGTTTGAAGTCAGCCTGAATTACAAGTGAGACCCTTGTTTGTTTTCTTTGTTTTTAAATCCAAACAACTCTTTTATCCACAGTTCATTCTGCTTTCCATACAAAACTTCTTACATTAACTTTCCCCACTTCCTATCCATTTGTTTGCTATCCCATGCAGGTAATTAGCTTTTACCACATTCTTGTCCTGCCTGGGTCTTACTGAAGTTTTCTGTCTTCAAAATCCCACTGCTAGTAAGATGCTTTCTTCAGAGAGGAATTCGTAAATTCAACCAGACCACCCTATGTCCCCTTAGACTAATTTCACTCTAAGACTCATCCTGCACACCTATGACAGAAGCAATTTTAATAAAATACACATTGTGTCCAACGTGTGATATAGTTGAGAACCTGCACCACTAGGCCAGTTAGTTCAGTGCAGGTTGTGAAAGTTATAAATGATCCATAGATGGGCAAATAAGTGTTCAAGGACCAAAATTGAGACAGAAGCTATAGGATCACGGCAAGCTCGAGGTCAGCCTGGCCTATACTGTGAGTTCTTAGCCAGGTTATATAGAGACCCAGTTTTAACAAAACCGTAACAACAAATAGACCAACGAGAATGGTACTTAGCTCTTAGGATGTAAGGGTCTGAGTGAGTTAATAGCTTGTTTCCTTTATGCCAGTGGTTTGAACTGCACTTTGTGGCTAAAATCCAAGGCAGTAGCCTTGTTCAGCACTAGAGATTTGCCTGCCTCTGCTTCCCGAGTGCGAGGATTAAAAGCGTGAGCAATCACGTCCGTGTCTGCCTTGCCTCTTAAACCTGCATTGCTTTCCACAAACGTTGCCTGTTCCTCGCCCAGTTTTCAGATATCTGGGGAGGCCCCGACTTAGAAAAAAGAGAGACGGAGCATCTAAGGCCAAGGAGACACTCAGGCCTCTTCCCATAGATTTACACCTCACACATAAGCAGGAAAGCAAATTACAAACACGCTCTCAACCACACACACACACGTGCACGCCCAGACCCACAGACGCAGACGCGCATGCCCGTGGGCTCACGGGAACCTACTTAGTTCTCTCTGTTCTAAATGCCCCCATCCCAATCCCACTCGGCCCGGCCTGGCATCCCCAATCCCGGGCACTGGGAAGAAGATTTTGCCAGCCAGCTCCGGCCTGGCGAAAAGGGTTTTCTCCGTCGAGGGGAGGGGAGAGGCCCTTCCCACTCGGGCTGGCGGGCGGGCAGGCGGAAGCAGCTCGCGCCGGCCGGGCAGACTTAGCTCTCGTCCTGGGAACATCTGGCCAGAGCTGGGCGGGGCGCGCGCCCAGAGCGAGCGTGGATTGGCTGCCCGGGAGGAGGGAGGCAGGGTCTGGACGAGGGGCGGGGCCCGTTGGCCCCTTTAAAGCCTTGACATCAAGAGGCGGCTCCGGTACCCCCCTTTTTCTGCCCCCCCAAGATGCGGCCATGGGCCCGGCGGACCAGGCCTGCCGAGCTCTGCACCTGATCTCGGTGAGTTCAGGCCCCGATTGGCATTTAACGGGCTGTGAGGTGGGGGGCCGTACGCCCTGGGCGGGGGCCGAGGAGTGGAGTGAAAGGCTCTCGTGGCAGCCTCAGGGCTTGAAGGGGCAGCGAGGCTTCTGGCCCGCACCTCGTCGCCTGCCAGTCCCTCCCGCCGCACTCTCCCAGGAGGGGTCCTGTTGTGACTTTGTCCACCCCACCCCCTCTCGCCCCTAGCGCCATCCTCGCGCACACTCGGTGGCCCCGGAAGGGAAACTTTCGGGAGTGGGGGATGTTCCGGTGGCGGGTCTCCCTCCCTCTTTGGAAGTACTGACCTTGCCCCCACTGCGCATCCCACCCTACCCTTATCCCACGGTCCCGGTACTGTGTTAGCGGTGCTTGGTTGCCGACGTGGGGGGGGGGCTCTCTCCAGGGCGCAGGCGCAGACTGGAGCCTGGGGCACCCCTTCGTACTCCTTCCAGTCCCCGTGGCCCGGGGCTGTAGGGCGTGGGGGAGGCGGGGAAAGGCGGAGTGGCCGGGTCTTGGGAACAACCCTACTGAGGCTCTGAGGGGCTTTGGGAAGGAGGGAACCCGACAAGCTGCATGCTGAATAGAGGAGGCTGAGGGGAGAGAAGGACTGGGCTGGAGTAGGGACAGAGCAGCCCCGACAGAAAAGGCTTTCTGGGTTTGGGCTGGGGTGCTAAAAGAGAATGCAGAGAATGTATCTGTGCCTGATATTGCCTTGGTTTAACAGGCCCAGGAAAGCGGCTGTTGGGACCCCCAACTCTATCTTCACATCCTGGGCAGAAAGGCTCTCTTGTCTCTCATAGCCTTGGCGCTATCCCAAGGGCACAGAAGGCCTTCACCTCCCCATAGGTCTGGCTTTCCAGAAGACTCAGCCAAACCCACCCAGCCTGCCCAGCAGCTGCTTTTTAAAGGCTTGCTTCCCCGGAGCCAGAGGTCTTAGGCTTGAGGGCTTCCTTAGCTTTAAAGGCAATCTGTTATTCCCCTCTCCACGAACTCTGTCTTCCCTTCTCCAGCGGGCCCTCCTGCTTAAACACAATTGTCAGTCAGAGGAAGTGGTTGGAGACAGAGGCCTGGGACCAGAACTGGTTTGAGGAACCATGGAGAAAGAATCTGTCTAACTATTGTGTGGCCGGTCTTTTGAGGGGAAGTGAACATTGCACAATTGCTTTGTTGTAGACCCTCTTCTATCTTCCAGAAACCCCCTCCAATCTGGCCTGAAAGCCTGGCTGTCAGATTTTTGGACCCCAACTCCAGTGTGAGATGAGTAGGGTTTCTTGCTCCAGAGAAACCAGGAGTATTTTTGTTTAGGGAGGCATTCCCACAGAGATCATTCGGTTTTGCTTCCAGCGCCTGTACTCCAAGCCTAAGGTGTCTTTGGCTTTATAGTGTCTTCCAGCTCCAGCCTTTGAGAGAGTAAAAGCTTAAACAGGGAGGTTGCTGTCTCAGCCTGCAGAGGAGGAGGCAGGGAAGGTTTGTGTGTGGGCCCTGAGTACAGGCAGGCCTGTACTCCAGTCTGCTCTGACCTTGAGCAAGATAGTTTGCTTCTACAGGGCTCAATCTTCATCTTCAAAACTCAGCAGTAAAACCAGCAAGATGTGAAAATCCCTCCCACTGGTGGGTAACTGGAGAGGGGAGAAAGTCCTCCAGAAGGGTGACTCCATTAAGAGAGCTAAAATGCTGGGCTGCCGTTTGTCAGGGTTAGACTTTTGGACTGAGAGAATGACTCTTCTGCCTGTGAATAGTCCTCTTCTGCTCACCCTGGTGCCTTGGGATATGAACTCCTGCTGGCTCAGGTCTGGCCCACCCATCAAGGTGAGACATCATGACTGGGCCAGTCTTTTGAGTTGGATCTTTGGGGAGGGGTTGAGAGAAGAGGAGGAAGCAGCCAAGGGCCAGCAGGGTAGGCAGATTCCCAGGAGACAGTTTGCTTCTCAGCTGTTGGGACTTGTTTTAGGATGTGAGCCAGAGAGCCTGGCACATTCATCCACCCTCTTGTGGGAAGAGGGCAAGGAGGGCCCCACTGCTGTTGCCCATCCTACCTGCTAGCTCTACACACTGTACCTCTGTGTTCACCCCAGCTCCCAGGCAGCAAGGAGAGGCGCCACAGCCCTCTTACCCAGCCCCCTTGCCTCTTTGAGGTAGGGCCCTTTCAGGACTCTGTACTCCAGGTTAGGACTTGCTTTCCAGCCCAAGAGCCAGAAGGCTTCATGTTTATTTTCATCCTAAGTCTCCCAGGTGAAGGGGAATATTGTCTGAGACTGTGGTGGTTAAAGTGGCCCTGGATGTGAGGCACATTCTCCTGCATTGTCTTTTTCCTGTCCTGGACCTGGGGAGCCCTTTAGCCTCAGCCCCACTACCCCATGAGTAAGCCTCTGCAGAAGGCTTGTAGGTTAAACCCCAAGAAACCTCCCTCACCGTTGTGAAGCCCTCATAATGGATAATGGAAACTCCCAGGGAGGTCAGTTTCCCAGAAAGCAGTCACTGGTGGAGTTCCTATCAGAGTGAAGGATGCAGTTGTTGCTAGGCAGAAGCTGCAATCCTGTCTTGAGGAATGGCTTTGAGGCTGCCAGCCCCAGGCCCTATGAAGGAGAAAGGACAGCCTGGATGAGGGGTGAAGGGCCCTGGTGTGCAGACCCGAGTCACCAGAGCTCTGTCTCCCAGAAGGTGCGTGCCCCTTTTCACTCCTGCTCCCTTCAGCCCCTCCCCCAAGCCCTGATGCCACCACTGTCTGCCTTGACAACCCTCGCCCGAACCTGGCAGCCCCTCCAGCCTGTCTGGCTGCACTAATAGAGTGATTGGATTTTCTATACTTGAAGTTTGGGGTTTTTGATTGAACATGCAAATTTATGTAAATCAATCTGAGATCTGCTACCACATCAAAACAATGTAGAGCCTCCACAAGCTGGAAGGAATCTGAGAGAAAAATCTAGTCCAAGGCCCACCTTCAAGTTAAAAATGGCGAAACTGAGCTGAGTATGGTGGCCTTTGCCCTTTAATCCCAGCCCTCAGGAGGCAGATGCAAGCAGATCTCTGAGTTCAAGGCCAGCCTGGTGTACAGAGTGGGTTTCAGGACAGCCAGGGCTGCATAGTGAGACACTGTCTCAACATTCCTACCCCAAACAGGGAAACTGACAGAGAGGAATTGATTCATGTGGTGGGATTCAAGCCTCCAGTCTCTGGTTTTACATGGTTTTCTGCCTTAGTGTCTCATTGGCTGTGCTTAAATAAAAGAAATCCAGTTCTTGAACCTAGATAGCTATTTAGAGTGTTAGCCTAGAGTTCCCTGAGTGCTTTGGTCAGCTTTCTGACTGGCTGAAGAAAAGTTGGAGCACCAGAAGACAAGATCATTGTGGTTTCCTGCCCTGGCTTTTCCGGTTCCCTGGGAGCTGAGGTTTCTGTTTCCAGCATTGGCATAGTGCTAGGCACACGCAATAGCCTGTAAGTATATCTGCAGAATCTTGTTATCTGCAATCCTAATTTGAGTTTTCGCTGCTTCCCTCCTTGGGTACAAGTGGAAAAGGTCCACTGTGGGTTTCCACCTGCCCCCTTGAATGTCAGGCCAGCAGGGCGTCCTCTACAATGTCCTACAGCAGTACGAAATAGGCTTTGCTGTGGGAAGGATCTCATTATTTGAAGATCATTGCCAAAGGTAGATAGGTGCTACAATGATAAAGTTGGCTCCAAGAAACAGTTTTTCAGTGACATATATTTTCCCTGTGCAGAGGGTTGAATCCAGGACCTTACAAATGCCAGGTCCTGAACTGTAGTTCCTAGTCTTGACTTGCTCTTGCTTAGGTCCCCAGCTGCCAGTTGCCCCACTCCTTGTGACGTGCAACTGTGGAGTGTCCAGCCCTCTCTTCCCCTGTGGTCCCTTTGTCTAGGGATGCCTCAGGCAGCCATTGGCCTGCTTCCCTGTACTGCAGGACAGTGGAACAGGGACTCCAAGACAAAGGCCCTAATTCCCTGCCAGGGCTGCCCACCGGGTCCTGCTGTAGCTTGGTGAGAACACTTGGGATGCATATCTGTGGTCTGTCTGCACCTTCTTCCCCACCCACATCTGGAGAAAATGCACACTCCCCTTGAACATTTTCCCAAAACTGCAGGGGTGGAGCCGATGCTCTCAGTTCCCATCTTAAGCACCGGGGGTCTTAGCTCCACTGGAACAAGATCTTTCTCCCTGAGCCTCAGTTTCCCAGCCAGGGTTCATGAATTAATAACACATCATCACTGGGGTGTGGCACCTGCTCCATAATTACCGTTTTTCTCAGCTCGGGAAGTTATGAAGATGAAAGAGGTTTGAGGGGGGCAGGCTGTTATTAAGGTGAATTATCATTGCTGTTATTACTGATTTCTGAAAACCCAGTATGTGCTTAGAAGAACCCAGTTAGGTACAGCATCCTGAACCTTGTGCTGGTCCTTGAGCTCTGGGAGCTCAGCACTCAACTGAGCTTTTTCTTAAAAAAAGAAAAATTACCAGGCCAGGCTGTAACCCAGTAGTAAAGAGCTTGAAAAGCCCTAGGTTCCGAGTACTGTTTTTGTTTGCAGTTTGTTTATTTTAAACAGGTCTTTTAAAAGAAGGGTTGATCCATGCTGGTGTTGATATTGTCACCTGCAGCGCCTGAACAATAGGTGCTACTGGTCTGCATTTCTCTCCCATCTCAGCCTAAATTTGATTCTGACCCCCGAGGGGGAAGCTGTGAAGGACCCTGGAATTCTTGGGGTGTGGTCCTAGGAGCTAAGTTTCCAAAGGCTGATTCACTTTATACAACTGGGTTGATTTAGGAACTGTAATTGGTCCTTTTGTAACATCCCCCTAGAAATTGCCCACAGCAGCTCTGGCATTTCCAGAAGTCATTTGCCTATCTTTTGGTCTTTCAAGACAGGGTTTCTCTGTAGCTTTGGAGCCTGTCCTGGAATAGACCAGCCTGTGTCAAGCTCACAAAGATCTGCCTGCCTCTGCCTCCTGAGTGCTGGGATTAAATGTG